TCCTGCCTACCCCAACTCAATAGATATAAAAATCATTACAGAAACAATGTAGGTGATAGGCAGAAGAAACAAGAACACATTTCTTTTACTTAGCATGGTGGCAACTTGGAAAATTGGCTACACTCTATAGGACCAGAGGGGTAGGAACTACAAAAGGAAAGATGAATGTATGGTTTCAAGAGTGGTGGTATAATTGTTCAGATTTATGCTATAAATCAAAGGCTGATAGTGTACCAGTCAGTGAGTGCATGGAGATCAAATTTTCCACCAGAATGTCTGACCAAACATCTCCCACACACCTTTGGCTAATCCACAAGTTAAAAATGACTTACAAATAATTCATTATCTCTAAAAAGCCATCTAAGGGCCATGTTCCAGGCTAGTACAGGTCCCACAAAGCCTGAAGTCATCAACTAAGTCATCACAAATGACCTGATCAGCTATCAGTAAGCTATCTAGTTTGAGAATTAGATGTAGAAATTAAGCCCTAGATGAAACTTCTCTAACAACAGCTTTGAACACTACCTCTTTTGCCTTTCACCATGACATGACACTCTAATTTCTTGTCCTTTCCCCTCAGCCTATGCCAGAGGCAAGGGGATGATCTATATGAAAAAGTAGACATAAAAGCATGGGAAATCAGTTTTGTTTTTGTTTATTTATAAATAGCTTTACCAACCAATCAATAGGCTGGAAACAGACTATTTTCCCTCCACCCAAATTAAAAACCACTATACTAAAACACTAACAGCTCTTTGGCTATACTGGGAGTTGATTGAAAAAGCCACCCTCCACCCTTTATCCACAATACAGCATCGGCTCCTAGTGTCCAGAAAGACATGCACGGAAAGAACGCAGAGTTAGCTAAAGAAATACCACAGTTTATTGAAGACTACAAATATTTTGTTACAAGTTGGAACTACATGCCTTCCAGAAATCAAAAGCAACAGCAGGTGTGTGCATTGATGCTTCGGAGGTGCTGCACCGCTCGAACTCGAAATGGGTAAGACAGGGTCAGACACATGGGGGAAAGGGAAATGGGGAAGGGCAAGTTCAAAAGCCCAGAAGGTATCCACCAACTCATTTCCCCAAGCCACGCAGGCCATGGCCTCAGCTCAGCAGGCTTTCCTCAGTGGTCTGGTTTCTGAAACAAGACTTCAGTGCAAATTTATACACACACACAAAACACAGCCCCCAGGCTTGGGCCAAATTAGCTCTCAGCCGTCCAGAAATGCTTGTAAGGGGGTGGATATTTTCTTCCTAAAAGGAATCAAATACATAAAGATAAATGAATTTAGAGGTTGATGAGGAACAGAATGATAAGAGCCCTCTGTTGGGGGTTGGGAACTAGGGGTTCTCAAAAAACTGCTGTAATAGATTACTGAAATCTTAAGGTAGGTAAGAAGCTAGGAGTTTCCGATCAGTCCAACTTTCATCAGTCACATGTCCTTTAAAATATTTGTAACTGGACCACTTAGTACCTAAATGTAGTACTGAGTTTTGGGATGAAGCCACTCCAAGTCAAAAAACCTTCTACCTCTCTACCCACCAAAGATTAGGTAGGCTAGGCCTTGCTCAGTGAGAGGAGTAGCCATAAGAAGTATGGGTATTAAAATCTCAGCAGGTCTTCAAGATTTTTAAAATGTTTATCATGACCCAATCTTTCTGTGCTCACTTTTCCAGTTACTGAAAAGCTTGGTTATTTACCTACCCAGAGTCCACAGAAAAGTGAAGAACAATGGTTGCTCCTTCTAAATCCCATAAAACTATGGGATTTTATTTACATAAAAATCTAACCAGGCTACAAGCTTTTAAAGATAACTTGACTCTTACCCCTTAGCAACTGTACCAACCACCTCCCCCAGATTCACCTAAAAGTCACTTTAAAAAATTACGTGGAATTGTTTCCAGTCCTTTCCTAGAGCCAGATATGGGCATATACCTACTACACGCAGGAGATAATGGCAAAAGGATTGTCACAAATTTGAGGCAAGCCTGGGTTTCATAGAGACCTTGTCTCAAAAACAATACAAAACAAAACCACAAACAAGCCAAATGCGGAGGTGTACACCTTTAGTCCTAGCACTCTGGAGGCAGAGGCAGACAAATCTGTGGATTTCAGGTCACCCTGGTTTACATATTGAGTTCCAGGACAGACAAGTCTACATAGAGAGATCCTGTTTCCAAAAAACAAAATAAACCAAATTAAAAAAAAAAACATAAAGTCAACAACAACAACAACAACAAAAACCCTACAAAAACAAAATGTTCTCTTTATCTCCATCCTCCAAAAGTAAAGCAAGACATCAGGGTATAGAAGCAACAGGCTATATGTATCCATAAAATCTGTACACTTCCATCCATGCCATCAGAGGTGCAATAGCAACAAGACTAACTATACAAATGAAGAAACCTAAGGATTCACTCTTAGTAAGTAGTCAATCATGTCTACTTTTTTTCTCCACATTGTAGGTCTTTTAGCTAGAGAATTAAAAAGGGAGAGTCATGTAACAAAAAAATTAGTGATACAAATCATTTATGTCAACTTATTGTGCACAGTGTTTGTTAGGAACATACCTATCTCTTCTCTTCATTACTCTTCAACTCGCAGAATCATGCATACTACCATTTCCCCTCACTGTCCTTTCAAAGAAACCTGGGGTCCTTGCTTTATTTCTCAAACTCAGATCAGCCAACACAAGCCTTCTGATCATTCCTACTGTGAACAGTGGATACAAGTCCTAGCACAAACTCTTCACTGGTACTGTTATCAGACACCTAAGCCAGCCAAACAATGACAATTGTATGTTAACTGACCCACTTTCAAATGGGTCTTTCCTCATCTACAAACAAACCACACAGACCATTGAGAAGGGTGAAAGGGAACTTACCAGTGTTGTACCCATGAGACCCATATCCACTTGGCTGTTGGAAAGGGGTGGCTGAGGCATTCACACTGACATTCACACCATGCTGCTTGGAAGAGGTAGGAGCCACCTGAAGAGCAAAAAGAACAGAAAGGGAATGACCCAGTAGCAGCATTTGTCTCACTTGTCCTACTCCAAAGCCTGGACATTTAGGTAGATACCTATCGTAACATAGGCCAGTCACAGTCTGAAGAGTGAAATGGGATTCTTCCTAATAATGGTTGAATAAGAAAATTCCCACCACCCTGCATGTGCTCATATATTTTAATATCTAGCCCCTCGTTCTTTGAGATTATGGAACCTTTAGGAGGTGGAACCTTGCTGAAGGACGTACATCAGTGGGATAGGATTTGAGGGTTTGTAGCCCTGCCCGACACTCCTGATCTCTCTACTACTTCCTGCTCCTAGGACCTCACCATTATGGACTCTCTCCCCCCTTCAAACTGTAAGCTAAACATAACTTTCTACTGTGAGTTGCTCTTAGTCATGGTATTTTAAAATAACAAAAAAGTAACTAATACACTAATGTTTTCAGAATTGACTCAAGAAATCAAAAGGCAGAGTGGTTTAGAGATAAAGAGACAATGGTTACAGGGAAAGAAGGGGCAGCAAAGACACACAGTATCACAGTCCTCTTTTGGATAATTCTATAATCAGGCAATTTTTGTTTAATTAAAAATCCCATACCCTTTATTCCCAGGCCAGAAATGGGCCAAAGGTTCAAAGTTATATACAAGTTATCTTCATTTATTTCTAAGGAGTCATATAGCTGTGAAAGCAACAAGGATGGTGTCCAGAACTGGGATCCTTTACAACAAGGAGACCACAACCATTCAGTTACTCACAGGGAACACAGCAGGCCCATACTGGAAGGTGCTGGGGAGGCCCGGGACCCCTGTGTAGTATGGCAGGCTGGTGTAACTATATCCAGGAGGCAGCGCCGGGTTCAGGAATGTCTGCTGCGTGGTGTGGTGAGTCTGCGTCTGGTTCTGTTGGGGTTGGGCCAAGGTTGTGGCTGGGGCTGGGGAGGAGGCATCCCCACGGCCGAACTTGGTGAGGTCGCCTATGAAAAGAAGGGCAGCTGTACACTCTATAATGTACAGAGGCTCCCAGAATGAACCCCCCCCCCCACAATGTTCCTCTGCCAACTTGTTTTCTATTGTCTCTATTGCACCTTTGTTTCTCCAAAGCTTGAAGGACAACAATAGTTGAGGGAAAATGAAAAGACAATGATAGGTGAGTTATGTAAAAACAAACAAAAATCAGCCAGATGGGATGGCTGCACACATCTTTAAACCCAGCCTTCAGGAGACAGAGGCAGGTGAATCTCTTTGAGTTTGAAGGCTAGCCTGGTCTACGGAGTCAGTGCTAGGACAGCCAGGGCTATACAGAGAAACCCTGTCTTGAAAAACCAGAAACCAAAACCAAACCAAACTCCCCCCTCAAAACAAAACCCCAAAACAACAACAAAACAAAATCAACAAACAAAACTATTCAATCATACTTCCAGGGGAAAGGTGGACTAGCCAAAAAACAAAACAAAAATCCCACTAAAGTTAGAAGTCTAGCTCAGTACTAGAACTTATGCTTAGCATGGTGAAAATCTGCATCAAATATCCAGAACCGTAAGTCTGGAAATAAGTCAACAGAAAGTGATAATATAAAAAGATGTCACAGGCACATATTTATAATAGAATTATGAAACTTCCAGCCTTGATTCATCACATCCATGACAATAGGGGCTGGGAAGAAAAAAATTCACAATTATGCCAAAAATCTTATTTATGGAACCCTTCTTGCTACTAATCATGTTTCTACCTCCAATCCCAATACATCTCCCTGTATTCACTCTATCCCAATCGTACCAGAGTAAGGGTTGCTGGCCAGGCTACCATCCCTCCCAGTAAGTGGAGTGGTGGGTGTGGGAAACGGGATACTGTAGTAATCCTAGAACCAAAATAAGAGAGCAGAGATTAAATTCCACTCACTCTTTATCGTAAAAACCACAAAGATGAATAGAAGCATGAGACTGTTGGAGAATTACAAACTACTCAGTTACCAATTGAAACATGAGATTGTTGGAGTATTACAAACTACCCAGTTACTGATTTAAAAAGCTTAGAACTCATAAACTCCTATTAATCTTGCATACACTGTTCCCCCTGGCCTGCCATGAATAGTCAGACAAGGTCTACGGATATGCTCACTGAGTACACATTAAGGTCTAGCAGGACTAACAGGGTTTAATCTTATACAGAACTTCTCGGCTAATTTTGAGAAAACAGATTCTTCTTTCTCCTGACGTGCTTAAGAAGCCGAGTGTGGAGATTGACTCAGTAGGTAAGAGTGCTTACTACTTTGATCTCCAGCATCCATGTAAAAAGGTGGGTATGACCATGGGCATGCTATACTAGTAGCAAGTAGAGTATGTGGGTTGATGGGCAAAGTGATAAAAACAGGATACACTCAATATCCTCCTTTGGCATCGGCAGGCATATGTATTGCATGAGAGGCAGAGGCAGGTGGCTCTTTAGAGTTTGAGACCAGGATAGTCTCAAACAAATTCTAGGCCAGCCAAGGCTACATAGTTATAGCTATGTAGACTGAGTGGTGGGATTAAAGGCACGTGTCACTACACTCAGCTCCTGTCTTAAAACAACAAAGGCTGTGTGTGGTGGTACTCTCTAAAATCCCAGCATTTTAAGATTCTGAAGGCTGAAGCATGACAATCACCAAGGCCAGATATACCCTTGTGAGATTCTGCATCAATACAACATAATGTGGTCCAGTTGATGCAGTCTTATAAATCTAACTACTACCACCAAGTTTTAGGCCATCCTAAGATAAAAAGTGAGTTCAGCACCAGCCTGAGCAATTCAGTCAAACTAAAAGCTCTAAAGTATAGCATGTGCCTAAAATGCAAGAGGTCCTAGGTTTGACTACTGGCACTACACAAGTCTTAAGAATGGCTGGGTATTGTGACCCATTCCTTTAATTCTAGTACTCAAGAGGCAGAGACAGGCAGATCTCTGTGAGTTTGGGGCCAGAGTGCTCTATAAATGGAGTTCTAGGACAGCTAGAGAGAAACACACAGAAACCCTGTCTCTAAAACCAAACCAACCAAACCACCAAATAAAAAAACCCTAAGACATTAAAAATGTAAAGGTTGAAAGTACACCATTTTGGGGATTCAGGAGAACTCATAAGTAAAGAAGAAAGATAAGGAGAGACAGAGAAAAAAATTATGAAAAACCAGAGAGGTTGGATGTGGTGCCACATGCCTTTGGTCCTAGTACTTAGTATTCATAGCTAGGACTACATAGAAAGACCACCAACAAGCAAGACAAGGGCCTTTGCCTAAAACGAATAAACACACACACCCCTTTACCTATGCTATAACACATCATCATTGTAAATGTTTAGTCCTAGATACTTAGGAAACTGAGGAAAGACAATATGAGGTCCAGTAGTTTGGCGCTAGCCTGGAAAACGTGGTGAGACACCTCTCCAATTATTCAAAAGAAAGGGTAGGAATACAGCTGAGCAGTAGAGTACCTACCTAGCATGCATTAATTAAGTTCTAGGTTCAACCATAAGGGTCTCAAACAACAATAATAAAACAGAACAGAAAATTGATGTTGATAGGAAGCATGTTAACAGTTTTATTATTCCATTTGAGCTGTAGCTATGTCACATGTGTTTTCGTACCCTGATTCAATTTCCAGTATATATGCATATATAATAAGATATATGGGTGTGGGGGGGAAGACAGACAGACAGCTAGGTTTGTGACAATGACTGAACATCTGAGACTCCTTCTATCAGTTTTGTTTGGTTTTTTTCCCCCTGAAAGAAAGGAGGTAATGTAGCCCAAGCTGGTCTTGAATTCCCTATATAATGGAGGCATGTTTTGAACTCTTGGCTTTCCTGCCTCCACTTCTCACAAGCTGGGATTACAGACATGAGCCACAAGTGATTTCCATGTTAATTTTAATGTTTTTGCCTGGAGGAAGTGGCGCATGCCATTAATCCCAACACTGAGGAGGCAGAGGCAGAGGCAGGTAAATTTTTGTCAGTTTGAGGCCAGCCTAATCTACAGAGTGAGTGCAAAGACAGCCAAGGCTACACAGTGAAACCCTGCCTCAATGTACCTACCCCAACTCCTCAATTTAGTATTCTTTTCCAATTTCTATCTCACATACTTACCAATGGAAATCTTGTCTGGAGCATCTGTAAATCATCATAACCATATACTTGTGGCTGCAAGACAGGCATTAATAACATTAATAGGAACTAGTCATGATGGTAGCAAAAGGCAAGATAGAACATATATTGTCATTGTTAGAACAAGGCAGATTATTTCCTTCTGTTTTCTTTAAATGAAAAGTAATAAAATATAAAGAGATTAAATGCTTCATGAAAGGTCTTAAAGCTTTCCTGAAACTACACACTATATAAAGACTAGGCTGACATCAGGGCACTTGTAGGGGAAAATGAGTAGATTCAAGTACATCAACAGCCAGCTTTAATTTATATTGAGCAGTCACTGTCTCTTGCAGTCTTTGAAACTTGGGTTGAAATTTGAAGGATTCACATTTTATTCTTATTTTCTTGTATTTCTAGGTACAAAGTGTTACTGTTAAAAAGTATTCAATGTGGGGGCTATCAACTCTTATGAGCACTGGCTGCTCTTCCAGAGGAAACAGGTTTGATTCGCAGCATCCACAAGTGGATGTACACTCATCTGTAACTCCAGTTCAAGGGAATCCAATGTTCTTTTTCTGCCCTCCAGGGGAACCAAGTACACACATATATACAAAGCACTCATAAACATGGAAATACATTTTAAAAAAAGTATGTAATGTGGGGCTAGAGAGATGGCTCAGTGGTTAAGAGCACTTGTTCTTGCAAAGGATGCAGTTCAGTTGCCAGGGCCCACAAGACAACTCATTACCATGAGTAATTCTAGTTCTAAGTTCAATGCTCTCTTCTGACCTCTATACCTATCTACCTTTGGATAGTGCACATTCAGAACACATGCAGAACATTCATACATGTAAAAAAAAAAAAAAAGATATTAAGTAGGAAGGAGGAAGTGCTGGGAAGAAGATAAGTTCAAGAAGGAATGAGAGGAAAAAAGAATAGAAGGGTGGTTATGATCAAAATATTATAGATATGTATGAAACTGCCAATTAATAAAAGGTACTAAAATAAACAAAAACAAAAGGCAGGCCCTGGAGGCTTATGCTCTTAAACCCAACTCTCGGGAGACAAGAAACAGATCTTTGAAAGTTCTAGGTCATTACAAAGTGAGACCTCAACTCAAAAGATAAAAGATAAAAAAGTTAAAGAGTGAAATTTGGATATTTCATCTATCTATTATCTAAGCTTCTTCCCTATGATAAGAGTAAGTGGCTTTTTTATTTTGTTTTGAGATATGTCTCACTGTGTAGTGCTAACTGGCCTAGAATACAGCTGGGTGACCAGGCTGGCCTTGAACTCAAAATATCGACTTGCCTCTGCCTCTACAGTGTTGGGATGTTTAATGTCACCACACTTGGCTGAAGAAATTGAAATTTCTTTCCTGGCCCAAAAAAATGGAATTTTTTATGTAGACCAGACTGGGCTTAAACTTCACAGAGCATAGTGGCAGGATTAAGGGCACTTGACAATACTCCCAGCAAAAATAGGTGTTTTTAAATAGAATTTTTATAAATATTATTCATTTTAGTGGATTTGAATACTTAAAGCTGACAGCTGAGGTAGTTCTGGACTTGAGTTCTAAATAGGTCAAAAAAGTAACGATCTAAAGATGTAGAGAAGCAATAGCAATATAGAAAACAACCAAGAAATTACATACTCTGGCCTTTGATGCTCAAGATCCAGCTCGTACTTCATACAAAATAAATGCTCAGTAAAGGGCCTTGTCTAAGTTTAGTCCTTCCTCCACAAAAACTATTATATTTTGAAGGGTGGAACCTGGAGAGTTCTCAAGAGCACTGGCTGCTCTTCAATAGAAACCAAGTTTGATTCCCAGCACACACATGGAGGTGTCTACAATTGTCTATAACTTGAGTTCCAGGGGATCCAATGATAGCCTCCACAGGCACCAGGCACACTATGGTGTATATAACATACATGTAAACAAAACCCCCAAATATATAAAAGCAAACAAATACACGAACCCTGTTACTTTTTTTTGGCTAGTGATATAGCTTAGCAGGTAAGGTACTTGCCACCAAACAATGCAAGCCAAACTGAAACCTGAATAAAGGTGAAAAGGAAACTCCAGTTTTCTCCAATCTTAGCACGCACGCGCGCACACACACACACAAATTTAAAACCCGTTTGCCCAAATGTACCATTCATTTATTCTGCTTTAATTATTGTCTTCCATCTGAATCTAGAACTACAAAGAAGAGTTACAGCATCCTCACTTTGTGGAGAAGATCCTTCAGCCCCACTTACCGGGTAGGCATGTAACAGCCCTGGAGCCATAATATATGGATTAGGCAACAATGGCGGGACTCCAGGAGGAAGGTTGGGAGGAGCTTTTCCTGAAAGAGAACATTTTTATGTTGTCATAAAATTTACTATCTCCTCCATTCCAGAAGAATGCCAGCCACCTAGACAAAGCTACCTGAAGTTGTAGCAACTGAGCTTCGAGTTGAGGCTGTGACAGTAGAGTTGCTGCCCAGGCTAAGGCCCAGACTACTGCCACTATTCAGACTGGAGGAGACACTGACCACTGGGGGAGGTGCAGAGACAGTGCTGGATGTGGTAGAGAAAGTGCTGGAGGAAGAATGCAGATTTGCCTCACTCTCCACACTTGTATGCTTCAAAGGGAAACAGTAGAAAATAAAAGAAACAATGATTAGCAACAGGTTAGAGAAGATAAGCAATGTATGACCTCATCAAATCTGAAATTAAAGAAAGCCATCCTAGGGTACCAGGATTCCCTCTGACAAGATAAAAGAAAATTTCTAGCTACACGTTCCTCACAATTGCCCATTGACCATCATCACTTAGTTCAGGAAAACAGCAAAGTAGGTGGGGACAAATTCCACAGGGATGAATGACATCAATTAGTAAGGGGGAAAACCTTAGAACTAAGAAGTGTATCACAGCCTTCTTTTCCACACTTTGCTTCACTAGTTCAACTTAGAAAACTAAAATATAAGCTGGAAGAAAGTACCAGCTTTGAC